CTTTCAAGGACCAATTCAAAAAGATGAGGAACTATGCAGAGGAATGTCTTCAGTCAATACCTAATAGTACAGTTGTCATCAAAACTGTGAGAGTTGTCCCAGAACAACCAAGTGTATTCCAACGCATTTATGTCTGCTTTGGACCAGTGAAGAAGGGTTTTATAGAAGGGTGTAGGAAGATCATTGGTGTAGATGGATGTTTTTTAAAAGGACAAATGAAGGGAGAGATATTGAGTGCTGTAGGTAGAGATGCAAATAACCAAATGTATCCAATCGCATGGGCTGTGGTTGAGATAGAAAACATTCATGTCATTTAAAAGCATGCAATAGTCCATATTTTCTAGCAGTGGTACTTGCCATGCTTCCCAAGCATCTAAAACAATTCTATCCTTTATTTTGTATGCATATACATGTATATGAAATGCCACACAACATACACAATGAATACATTCCAGGAATCCAGGTTCTTGACAATACAAAAGCACCTAAAATGAAAACTTGTGGTGAACTTGTTCAAACATAGATACCATATGAAACTGGTGGTGAACTAGTTGAAACATAGATACCATTACATCCAACACAATTCAACTGTGATAGCCTGAATACATATTTGCTGCAAAGCATAGAAATACAGCCAACCCTATGACAACGAGCTTCCTGCACCTCTTTCTGGCCTTAACCTCATTCTCAAGAACGGTTTTTATACTGGTTACATCTGCTTGAACATGGCTTAAGCGTTGGACAGCACCATCAACCATGGTCTTTACTTCATCAAACTTATCTCTCTTCTGCCCAGGCCTGATCATGTCTTCTCTTCCTATGTCATCCTTCCACAAGAAGTAGCCGCACCCTTCTCCCTATAGACAATACGAACACATATTTTCAATTACACAAACTGGGAAAATGATACCTATTATCACGCGAACAGGTTCTTCAAATTCAAAATCATTACCAATACAAGATAACCTGCACAGCCTACAGTATTATATATGCACATCAAATGAAAAAATGTAAATTCTTTCGACGTTTTACCAGCCAATTTTGACACCCATAGAATTGTCTTCCGCTCTCCCTTCCCACGCACAGCGGCGCTTTCAATCCACACCAACAGTACACTGCAGGCTCGTAATTTGTAGTGCTTCTTCGCTCTTTTGTACTCGTTGCTGTAGACGAGGAGGCCATTGTTGGTCACGAGGTCAAGCTTACAACGGGAAGAAAAACGATGTACAGTGTAAGGTCGGGAAGGAAGGTTAGGGCACGATGGTGTTATTTGGGGGTGGATAGGGTAAGTTAAATGATTTAACTGAGTCAGCGCTGAAAGACCGATAGGCAAATTCCACGTCAGCGCCAGGAAGGCAAGCAACGGGCAAACCGGGAACCAGCCGGTGATGTAGCCCTAATTGATTGATTTTGGAGACTTGGCGGATTCAATTGAAGGTTTTCAAAGTACGAGGGCTCAATTGAAGGTTCGCCCATAGTACGAGGGTGTAATTGACAGTTTTCCCTTTATAATAATACGGAGCAAGTATTCATTTTTTCATTAGCTCATTTAAAACAGGGTTAAAGACCAACTGAGATCAATATTAATTATTACATCCGTGCGTGAGATGAGTTGGAAAATTATTAGGCCTGAATTGATGCTGACAACCCGAGTTCGAAACCCTCCTTCGTACTATTTTGTAGTTCGTGAGTCTACACCATTTTAATTTTAAACTTCTACATTGTGCTTCCCACACCGGAAAAGTGAGGAGAAGTCACCTTCCTATCCATCTATAAAGGAACTCATCTCCTTTGAATTATTAAAGCATCAGACAAGCATAACATTTGCAAGGTCTGCAATTGATGGCTTAGGTTGTCGAGTTGATCTCTAGCAGCTCGCGAGCTATAGTGAAAGTTTTCGAGTCGAACTTGAGCTATAATATTTAGGCTCGAATGAGCTTGAGCTGAGCTCGAGCATGTAGAATGTTTTTGAGCTCGAGTTCGAGCATATGTGAGTTTGGGTTCGGCTTGGCTCGATTACTCCCCTAGCCTATACTTGGCAATGCAGCCAGGCGGTAATCAAGCTCTCATTTCTGTTTGGGAGCTGCATTTGTGACAATTAAAACCACAATCCAATCAGGTTTAGATTTAACTAATGCAACATTGTTTTACACTTCTACTCTGATACATATCCATATGGATATGGATACATGTACAGATACATATAAAAATACAAATATAAATATACGGATGATGGAAGCATTTTATAAAGCGCTTGTGATCCACTTAATTTTAGAAATTTGATCCACTTAAGAAAAAATTTTGTTTCTAAGATCCACTTAAGTAATCTTAATTTAATATTAAAAAGGAAAAATTCACATAAATAATCCGAACTATTAAGAGTCTTCTACTATTAATCTCAAATATGCGTAATTCTAGAATAATCCGAAATTTATAGACAGTCTTCCCTAGTTGATCCAGGTCACCTGCAACTTATACAACAGGTAAAAGTTTTTAAAAGAAAAACGAAAAAGGTTGGGCACTGGGTTGTTCATCTTCGTCTACCCTAATTACAGGTAGCTTGTTGCTTCCTTCGTTCAAGATATGTTTTGCTTTATGTTTTCTTTTCTTTCCTCCTCCACGCATATATAAATCTCCTTCTCACCTCAATTTCATTCTCAAATATGCTCCTAGAATTCGTACTTCATTCTTTCAATTTCATAATTGAAATATTTGATTTGGTCAATCCAAACTCTAATATATACGACACAATTCATCATAGAAGATGGAGACCAGTCGACTAGGCCAATTAATATAAACAGAATTACAGAAGTATGGTAGCGATGAACAACTGGGAAGGACGGAGGATCAATATTTTTTGTAAGGAGGCTCGACACTGGCGATGAAGGGAGGTTGATTATCCGACCTAGGTGGCGAGACTGGAGGCACTGGAACAGGGACAGACCGATGTCCGTAGCACACCCGTATGGCCAAAGCAATGAAAATGAAGATGAACAAAACATTAAAAAAAAATGAAAAGGAATGAAATGTAAAAGGAGAGGGGGAAAGAAAACCAATTAAAACAGCCCACGTGTCCGAGTCACCTGCTCTATTGGGACATACAGGTCACCGATGCATTATAAGAAGAGGCTCGTTATAGTTCAGATTATTTTAGAATTAAGCATATTTGGGATTATTATTAGAAGACCCGTAATAGTTGGGATTATTTATGTGAATTTTTCCTATTAAAAAAAAATAAATAGCCCGGGCCCGGCCCGAACCGGCCCTCTACCCGGCCGGGTAGGCCCGACCCGGACCGGACCTGGTATTACCCGGGCCGGTTACGGGCCCATGTTTCTTAAAAAAAGCCCGCCCGGGCACGGCCCGGAACCGGAACCGGCCCGGCTCGGGTCCAACCCTAGTCCCGACTAGGTTTGGTCTGGTTTCGGTTAATAGAGTTAATGAAATCGAAAGGTCGGTTCTGTTCGGATTTTTCCCATTTCGGTTCGGGAACCGAACCGAATCCAGCCCTAGTTCACACACATAAGTTTTGAATAATAATATGCATACTAATAGATCCTAATCTCTTTTGAAGATATTTAAATTAATTCTTTCATTGCCATTGAAGATCTGAGATCTTAAAGTTTTAATATTCGAATTAGATCAACAATATATACCGATACTCACCACAAACGAAATCAAATAATAATACAACCTTATCATACCTCAAATCAATCAAAATGAAGACATTGAAGCTTTGGTAGGTTACAGGTCGTATATGTATGGAATAACGATCGATGACAACCCGACGAAAAACCCAAGAGTCCTATTATAAGCACATTAAAGATATCCATTCTATGTTCAATGGTGAACCCTCAAAACTCAAAAATTGACATAATCCCTTTAAATAAGCCTTTAAATAAGGGTGTGAAGATTCTAATTTGACTTCAATATAAGAATGTGTAAAAGAAATGAGAAATTTTAAATTAAAGTGGAAATGAAACCAAAAAATACTCAATGCAATTGAAAAGCTGTAATAAGTAGAGTGAACGAAATTATATATTCTACGCTCTTTTCTTAAAGAAAGATATCAAAGGATTAATTTGCAAACTTCTAAAACCTGGAAGGGATAATATCTTCAAGAGAGATGGACTACACCAATTTTTAGATAACTAAATTACAACAATGTGTAGTTAATTTTGAAAATAATGGTAAGGAATAGATAAAATTTAATGATGAAAATAGAAAATTAAACATTTTTTCTTTTTATTTAGGTAAAGATAATTGAAAAGATTAATTTCTGGACACAGTTATGCAACTGAATAAGTGAGAATTCAAAAATAAAACATACTCAATAAATGAAAAATGTGCATTATAAACCAATATTATAATCTACTGTGTAAGTGATTATGTATTAATTAAATAAAAAAAATCATTTATCCCTAGTAATAAAAAAGGGGGAAAATGCTATATAGCCAAAAGAAATAGGCCACTTGAAGTTAATAGCTTCTATTTTATTTATTAAAATACATAGGACTTTTTTGTTAATATACAACCCATAAAACTCTAGTTAATGTATGTATTACATCATGAAATGGAATGTGAACTAAAGGAACGTAACTGCTTGCTCCATAGAGGCGTTATTAAGAAAGGCTGTGTAGTTAATTTATGTTAATCCATAATATTAATTAGGTACACAGTCAATTTTTTCTAAAAAAAATCATTTACGCTGGTAAATGTCATACATTCCGCTATCAACCATTCTTCGTGTACACGTTTTTGTACCCATCAGTACACGCATGTGTCTGTGAGAGTTTTTTTTTTGTCTGTGAAGCGCGGTCCACAGACATAAGTTCGCTTGTTTTGTCTGTGGAAAATTTCACAGACAAAACAAACCAGCTTTTGTCTGTGGACCGCACTTCACAGACAAAAAAAAACTCTCACAAGACACATGCGTGTACTGATGGGTACAAAAATGTGTACAAAAGGAATTTTTGTTCCGCTATTATATGGCCGGAGTATTTCCATCTATTTAGCACATCCCAGGCGTCCATATTACAATCTGAGAGAAATCGGGAGGGGCAGTCGGCGTAATTTGGAGTCGAACAGAGTGCTAATTCCAGACCCCTCACAACAGACTCAACATACACACTCGTGCAATATTATTATATTATTATTATGTATATATCCACGAAACGGTTAGAAGAATTATCAATTATGTTCCCGCTTACTTCCCTTCAGTTTATACATGATTAGCTGTCTCATTTGCTCTTCACCAGAATATTTCTGGCTTACTCTTCCCTCTCCCGCCAGCTGCAAATCATCACCTCGTTTTCCTCCGCGCAGTCATCGCCATCATCGGTATCTCTTCAATCCTGTCTTTCTCCCTCAATCGATGTATTGTTCTAAACTTTGATGCTGAGATACAGCTGCTGGTGTTTGACTAGAATTTGAATGTGACTTTGATATGAGTGTTGATCAGACATTGTGGCTAGCTGATTAGAGCGTGATTCTTATATCAATCGTTCTCGTTATTCACTCATTGCTGTGCAGATTTTGCTAGCATTGTGAACAAATTGTTGTTGTTCATACTCACTTTGACTGAAAATGGTTGACAGCGAAGTGATTTTGGCTCCCAATTTATTGGTGATTAGGTTAAAGGTTGATTGAATAGGATATTATTATGCATGTATATATCCACGGAACGGTTTCCTATTCCATTAATACAGCTGCTGGTGTTTGACTAGAATTTTACTGTGACTTTGATATAAGATTTGATCAGACATTCTAGCTAGCTGATTAGAGCGTGATTCTTATGTCAATCGTTCTCGTTATTCACTTATTGCTGTACAGATTTTGCTAGCATTGTGAACAAATTGTTGTTGTTCATACTCACTTTGACTGAAAATGGTTGACAGCGAAGTGAATTTGGCTCCCAATTTATTGGTGATTAGGTTAAAGGTTGATTGAATAGGTTTCCTATTCCATTAAAATTAGAAGAATTATGTTCCCTTCATTTTATACACGACTAGCTGTCTCATTTGCTCCTGTACGTTCACCAGAGTTTTTCCGGCTTACTCTTCCCTCTCCCGCCAGCTGCATTGAATCATCACCCCGTTTTCCTCCGCAGCGTCATCGCCATCATCGGTATCTCTTCAATCCTGTCTTTCTCCCTCAATCTCTTTTATATGTGGTATTTGTGTATATATATTTATCTCGCCTGGCCTGCATGCTTCATATAATAAATCTGTGTATACCAACTGATATAGATCAATGTATTGTTCTAAACTTTGATGCTCAGATACAGCTGCTGCTGTTTTACTAGAACTTGACAGTAACTTTGATATGAGATTTGATATGACATAGTGGCTAGCTGATAAGAGCGTGATTCTTATTTCAATCTTTCTGGTTATTCGCTTATTGCTGTACCGAATTTGCCAGCGCTGCCCCGAACAAATTGTTGTTGTTGTTGTTGTACTCATTTTGACCGAAAATGGTTGGCAGAGAAGAGAATTTGGCTCACAGTTTGATTGTTTCTTAGGTTGAAGGTTGATTGAATAGGATATGTGCTTGCGATCTAAATGTAATGTAGTAATCAATGGCGATATGTAGTGTGTGTGAGTTTAAATTTCCTGATAAATTTACAGTCTGCTAAACTTCTTTCCTTGTTCTTGCCACAGCTCTGTTCACTTAACCAGCTTAGTCTCAGCAACTCAACTTGAACCTTCATCAATTGTATAGCTATGCAAACTTTATTCATTTCCCCTTCGTATGCCCTCAACCTTAAGCCTGCATCCGCCATCCGTGTCCTACACAGGACTTCGTATGCCCCATTGTTCCATCCCTGGAAGAACCAGTCTATCGTCCAAACAAAAGCCTCCAGTCAAGGTGGTGGTGATGCTGACGCTGATAAAAAGAAAATTGGTTCTTTTGACCCTAATTCTATATCTATAGACCCTAATACAATGACAAAGGGGTCACTTCTGTATGGTACCATCTTTTACCTGCACCACGGCAGGATTGTGCTAAACAAAATTGGTCTTTCAAACAACATTTCATTTGCTGTTCTTCTTGCCTCATCCATGCTCTTTACTGTCTCTTTCCTGTTTTTTTTATCCACAAGAGAAAAGAAGGACAGTAATGCAATAGCATCCGATACTGCCAAATGTGTGGCTACACTCAAAGGGGTGAGGAAAGTTATAGAAGCTCTAATTGACTTCCATGAGCAAGCGGAATCCTTAATAAGCAAAAGATATTGCTTGATGGCCTATGCAGCCTATGCTATCTTCTTTTGTTTGTTATTAAAGTTCTACAAGCCAGCCCCTAACCCAGCCCCTAACCCAGCCCCTAACCCATCCCCAAACCCAGCCCCGGCCCCCGGCCCCGGCCCCACCCCAGCTCCAGCTCCAGAAAACACATGAGGTAATGTCCGGGTTTCATTTGTGAGTTTGTGTTCTATTAGTACATGAATGGACACCTACCATTCAAGGTTGTAAAATTCAATTATTGTATTTGATGTATTAGTGTGAATCAAGTGTGATCACTGTCTTTGTTTTTATTCATTTCATGTACAACAATGCAATAGATATTTACTTTTTATCAACTGTCAACTTTTAATATGTCACTTTTATTTTTGCAGGGAAATGAAGCAAATCTTGAAGCTGAAGACTTATGTTGTAGACTTGAGCTGCTTTTTTTTAGCTTTGGACATTAATGATGAGACATGGTTTAAATTTAGAGTTTTATCTTGGAGACTTGATGATAGAAAAAAAATCTTGGAGACTTGTGGATTTTTATAATATTTCACCTCCAGAGTACTTGATCGCAGCTATGGGGCTATTACTTTTTTCCTTTAAATGCTGGGAAATGGGAACATTAAAAAGCATTTTGATGATATGTATGAACACTCTTTCTTGACCACTCATTGTTTAGTTACCAGACAATATGTTACAAATATGCTGGTGGGTTACAAATATATATTGGCTGTTTTGTTACAAATAACCTACCGGACAATATTTGAATTTGGTCAGCATACTTAGTTTGATCATTTGGTAACAAATACGGTCAGCATGCTAATTTTGGTAGACCTGTGGATTTTTGTTTATAATCTTAGATGCTTAGAAAATTATTTTCAATTATGGTTCTACGGTGTTTGGTTAACTGGTTTGTGGTTAACATGAGTTTTGGTTAACTGGTACTCGGTTAACCAAAGTTATGGGTAACCAATACTCGGTTAAAAAATATTACTCCCTCCGTCCCTAAATAAACTTCCAATTTTCCTTTTTCGTCCGTCCCAATTAAAACTTCCACTTTCTCTTTTTGGCAAAGAATTTGTGGTTCACAACTATTCTTACACATTTCGCTTTCCTCTGCACAATTCTCGACCACACAATATTCACTATCTTAAACTGTGTCAAACCTATTTGAAAGTTTTACTAGGGACGGAGGGAGTAACCAGTTTCTCGGTTAACGGGAAGTTGGTAACCAAAATTCAGTTAACCGACCACGCCTACCCCTAATATTGGGGAGTAGTAGGGAGTAGAATGAGGTCTTATGGGCGGTGTAATGTTGTATATATAATGGTTTTTTTAGATTAAATGCCCAAAGTACTTTAATGAGCCGTCTTTTTAGTAAACATGTGTCTCTAAGCAAATCATTAACTAAATTAAATTATCACAAAGTTCAAGTGTAGGAATAAAATGATTTTATACATACCTGAGTCTTGATATCATGTATAAAATACGTACTATAAGTCTAGACCGATCTTGTGGATTAAACGGAGTAAACGTGATTTGGAAAGCTTATTTAGACCGATCTTGTTTGGTGTAATTACTTGGTTCCTATGAAAAGCATATGCGGCGTATTATTGGGGGTGATTGCATGCCTCATTTTGTTGAATGTATAATCGGGTTCATTAATAACCATGTGTATGAGTGGGTTACTTGTTTGAAAGGTTCTAAGTATGCATCTTTCACCATCAAACTTTTGCCTTTGGAAATGATTCCAAAGTGGCGTTCGAAAGTTTTCATACACGCATGGTCTTATTTGAAGTAAGGACTGAGAGCTAATGTGGCGTTATGAGGTTCTTATGTTGGGGCTATTATGTGTAAGATGGAAGGAAGATTTGTATTAGCCATCGCTTCACCCATAGCTCTTGCTCATCTACCCATGTGTGTTTTAAAATCCATCTAGATTATTCTCCTCACTAATTTGGCAAAACCTCTTCCAAGGCCGTCTCTAGAATATCAGGCAATGTTTGAAGTTAAGCAAAGAAGTCGGTTGAAGAATCAAGAGCCACACATCATTGGATCAAAATCTTTTACTAGAGTTACAGAAGAAGAGGTGCTTGTAGTAATTCTTATTAGTGACTTTTAAAATATAAGCATTGCTTGAACAAACAATCAAAGTTCCTTCATTGCTTATGATACTTTCTTTCTGAGTTCAAATACTCCAAATACCCCTTTTCGGTTAACCGATAAAAACACCAATTTTTCGGTTATTTACCACGATTAAGATGATTCTAACTATTTAATATAATTTCTTCCTTTTTCTATTAACAAAATATATTTTAAATATAATTTTTACATAATTCAACAGATTCAGGTGAATTGAACAAGAATAATAATATAGAAATATATAAACTCATTATTTAGGTATTAAGAGACTTGTAATTACATGAGGAAAGAATACTATTGTAGTATTTTTTTTTGTATCGTTATATGCTAGTCAAACCGTATTTTTTATACGTGCATCGATTTGGAATTGATTAGCTTAATATATGACATCAACTATTAACCGTTAACTGTCAAACAAGATATATAGGCCGAGAATATTTGTAAAAATAGTTTACTAGTAGTGTGTTTCTTTCGGGGGCGGACCATAGTAGAGACTCGGGGCTCCCGCCCTTCCAACAAAAAACAGTGTAAATTTATACGAAAAGTAATTATCGCCCCTCAAAAAATAATTTTTGCCCCCCAAAAATATTTTGAACCCCCCAAAATGAATTTTCTGGATCCGTCCATAGATTCTTTCTTTCCTTTTGTATGTTTTTTTTTTTTTTTGCTTCATGTTGTTTTTGTCACGTACACATTAGTCACATGACACAAGTGGAGTAGATAGATGCTACTACCTCTCTTTTTTCTCTTTTGAAGAGTGGAGAGAATATAAACGAACTAACCTGAATATATACACTTCAATTCGACTAAAATGAAATTTTATTTAAGAGGCAAAACCAAATTCAAACATACGTAGTACTCCGTAATAAAGATTTAGTTAATCGTTCTACTTAATAGCGATACAAATCGATCAGAACCGTTCATTCTAAAAGCATCTGAACCGTTCATTTAACTTTTCTTTCATACCGATCTGTAGCCTTCTGTACGTGTAGTATCGCCGATCTTCCTCTTCCAGTCTTCCTTCCATAATCTCTTTCCTCTTCCATCTCTTCCCATCTCTTTTACACTGATATCTCTGCTTCCTTTCCATTATCCCGTTAGGTAATCGGAAATTATAAAACTTTTACTTCGTTTGTTGTCCGGCCTTTAGGAAACCGGAAGAGTTCATCCGGGAAGACGTGCCAACAATTATCAAGAAGGTGAGTAATTAATACTCGAATCCAACAATTGTTTCAACTTCTTTATTTATTATACAACAATTGGAAAAGTCTTTATTCAACAATTGTACATATCTTAATATACATAACATAAGAAGGTAAAAAAGAAACAGAGAGCTAACGCCATCACAAAAAGAAGCTATAACTAAATCTGTTATCTGATAAAAGAATCACAGATTATTTTTACAAACGAAAATTTTCTTTGGTCCTGTATTAAGGCCTCTTATTTGATTTCGAACAGGGCAAGCTAAAAGTCCCGGCCAGGCCTGAAGAATTGCTGTACATCGAATTGGCATTAGTTGATGAGAAGGAAACAATTGAAAATTCTAAAAGTGCTAAAATATGTTTTTGTAACTTTTATTCATACTATCTGTGGTTCAATGATGTTCTAATTTTGAATAAATTATATATATAGTCCATGGTTTTCACATCACTCGATCTGATCAAAGATTATTAGGTTCTTAACCATTGACGAAGCTGATTGGAAAAGTCTTTGCTCAAGTTAGAAAGTGACACTGTTTTTTTAATTGCAAAAGTCTTTGTTTGAGTTCAAGTTAGGGAGTGATTTAAATTATACCAAATTCAGAATGTGATAATGTTTTTTGTTTGGATAAGTCTGTATGTTTAAGTTCAGGTTAGGAAGTGATTGAACATATACTAATTTCAGAAAGTGACCCAACTTATGTAAGTTTTAACTAATAATTATTGAATTAATGTTTATTTGGTCGTTTTGTTGAGTTGCTTTAAAATTAGTTGATTCAAATTTGCAACGGTAAGTGACTTTGAATCCCTACAGTATGACATACAATTCAACTTTGTTGAATTGTGATATTTTTGTTGTTGTTGAAGGTGTCAAAGCTGCTGCGATGATTTATGGTGCTTGCGATATTGGCCTAAGGAAGCACCTTTGTTAAAGAGGTACTATTTCCACATTATGATGCTTTGGATAGTTTGTCTAACTATAATTGATCAAACTCATAAATTATAATTTCACTTAAACCTGTCAACATTGATACTAAAAGGTTCTTGAAATGTTTTTGTCCACTAAATAAGATTAAGGATTTCATAAACAGAGTAATAAGCTTTGATCATCTTTCATCACAAGCATTTTGACTTTCTCCTTTTCAATTCGAAACCATAACTTCCTTAATTAACCATGTTTCTGGATACTTGATTCCGGTATCAACAGTACCTATAGAGCAATAGCCTTTAATTTATTCAATCCGATCCCTTGATAAGCTCAAGCTGTTTTCATGTTACTGATACCCTTTACTTTATATTTTTTGAAGTAGTTTTGTACTCTATCAGTTTAATGCTCATATGAGTATTGAGTATCCAGGAACTAAATTTAAACTAAAAAATTCACATTATGTCTGGAAATATTAAATCAGTCATTTACAAACGCATCAAATATACATTTTTTTATATAACCAGTGAGCCAATTTCGTAATTCATAGTGATATCTGAAGTTATTGATCAGTTACTTAATTTGATCAGTATTATAAACATGGAGCTGAAATTCTTCCTGGATCATTATAAGTTCCCTAATTTGATTAACAATGTAACTGAATACACAACTTTGACCGCAAGAGCTTAGAGGCAGAGGTTATGCCATTGCTTCCCCCTCATCTCATAAAACAGTAAGTAAACCCAGAATCATTGTGCAGACAAGGACATACAAGTGGAGAAAATATGGGGAGAAAGTAGTCGAAGGAAACAGTCAACGAAGGTACTCATTTCTCTCTTTAAGCATGCAAAATTGCTTGTGTTGCTAGAGTGAGTTTTCCTGCATTCTTTGACATTATATAACCGCGATGAAATTATAGCTCCCAGAAACAACCACTTTTCTATCTTTAGGTTTATAAAGTTATTAAAAAAATACCTCAGCGTGTTAATTCTTTAGTTTTAGACGATACACCAATAATTATGTGATTCCAGTAGTACTATTAAATTGAAATACATGGCTCTGCTCCAGCTTTTTAATTTTAGTCAAATATTATATGATTAAGTTAATACAAATATATTTTACAGAAATGCCTAAATACAAGTTTCAGATAACTTAGAGTTTTTTGTATTATATCAAGTAGTTATGATTGTAATTCAATTCAACTCATTTTAAATATAATTTCATGGGCAGATAAGTATCACTATTTTAAGTCAAGGTCGAACGTCGGGATTAGCACATAAAGATGTCTAATCTGTAGTTGGAGCAGCCAAACTGGGGCAGGTATGATTTCCTCTGTTTTCTATTTTATTGTGCAGTTAAATGAACAATAAGGATTAGAGATGTATTTGTAGCTTCATGGATTAAAAGTTATGGCCTAAAGGTCACAACAACATACATAC